AAAGAAGTACAGCTCCAATCCTGTGGACGCTGCCTGTGTCAGGGACCCTCCGAAAGGGAGGTTCATTTGGGGTCTCAGAATACCCCTTCCTCTCTCTCATGTCAGAAGTCAAAAGTTACCTGCTTTCTGACTTGAATGATCATTTTGCAAGCCCCAGGAGGCTAGGAAAGGGGGTCTCATCGCAGACCCCTTATCTGATTTAGCCACCGTCACCTGCCGACAGGCCATGCTCTGCTGCTGCCGGAGGACAGCTCCTGTCAAGGAAGGGAAGGCATAGTCGCTGCCTCACTCTCAACACGCACGCTCCTCTTCGTCCCCACTGACTGCCCAGCACCCCTGTCCCCCCAGCTTCCCTGCGGCCAGCCCCTCCTCTTACATGTCTCCTGCAGGTCAGTCCGCAGATGCATATCCCCTCCAAGTCCCAGGATCGTGCCTAGACACATACGTCCGTGTTGTGGCTGTTTTTAGGGTAAGATATGTAGATAGAGGTCGAGGAAACTGATCTCAAAAGCATCCTATCCAGTTTCACAATTGCTGGATGGATGGAAAACACATTTTACCCTTTTGTGTTTTCTGCACTGAATATCTTTTTTTAAAAATTTTTAAGGTTTTTGCCATAGGATGCATGCCCTGGCCAGAGAGAGACCATGAGAAGGAAAGTGAGAAATCATCCCTCAAGGGGGATGGCCATGCTGCGACCCCTTCTCCTCCATTCTCCTCCTAGGATCTTGGGTACTCATGCACACATGCCCTGTGTGATTTTTCAAGCCACCAGGTCTGGGACTCAAACTGCAATTGGCCATGTGGGAATCCAGTGCCGTCTGGGGCCAGCCACCATGCCATCTGCTGGCCCCTGCCCTCAACAACTCGAAGCATCTGCTTTCATTGTTATCACTGAAGTTCTCTAGCATTCATAAACTTCTTCCCGGGGGGAAATCTTCCAAATCCTGTCAGCCTCCGGCAAGCAAAGAGTCTTGTAAGCCTAAAGGAGGAACTGTCCCATCAACTACCAAGCCCTTCTGGCCATAGCATTTCTAAAAAACCAACCCAAGTCAGCCTTTTAAATCGAGAGAGACAGAGTCCACTGCCACAGTGTCAGTGGCTTTTCCACTCAGCCTTCCATCTCTGTGTCTGTCTGAAGGTATCTCCGCTCTCCATGGGCCTGGGGTGCAGTTACTGGAGACGGCCAGCTCCACCCTCGCTGCCAGCACACCAGATGCAAGTGAACTGAAGCAGGAAGCCACCTGAAGCCAGGCTGGAGTTGCAAGAGTCCAGTCCCAGGAGGCAGGGTCACCAATGCAGGAGGGTGAATGTCTTTTACTATGAAGCCAATCAAGCTGCCAGGGTGGGAGGCGGAAGCAGACAGACCGGACACTGCCTGCCCTTCCCCACACCTCTGTTCCAGAAGAAGCTTGTGGACGCACTGAACACCACCTGGTGGAAGAGGGCATCCCTACAGGGCCTGCCTGGAGCAGAACCCAGGGCTGATCCTCCCAGTAAACACAAAGGGGCAGCCAGCTCATCCTTGGCATGACTGAAGCAGCATTGACCACACCACAAGAATCACCAAAACTCTTCTTACAAAAACTCCCTCAGTCATTTTGAAATAAATTTCATTTAAAAAAATTAACATAGTTTTTTCCCCCATAATGATAAATACAAATAATTTGCACCCATGGCAACATGAAGGCTTTGAAATGACTCTCTTTTGCTCAAATAGGCAGAACCCTGCATGAAGGTTCTAGGTCCAAAACCCACCAAGCCATCCCCCATGGGAGGCAGGAAGAGAGATTCCGCTTCCAGGCACTCATGTGAACCTCCTGAGGCCTGAGAGTGGCCACTCCTCCTGTGGCTGAAGCCATCCTCCCAGCCCCAGCTGGCCCAGGCCTCTTCGTTCAGTATCCAGGTCATCTGAGTGCCTGCTCCCTTCCCCAAGTCCCAGCAGAAGCTGGAAGAGCCCCATGAAGTCTCGGCTGGGGTTGGCCACAAATACCAAGCTCCAGGGTCCTAGAGACAGCAGTGCATTGCTGCAATCCGCCCCACCCAGCCAGCTCCTCAGCTCCAGGCTCATCTGTGCAGAAAAGGGCTCCCTGCTCCAGGCAGGCACTTGGGAAGGCAGCCCTCAGCCCCACAGACAGCAGAGAACAGCCTGCTGCTGCAGGGAATTGGGATGGCCGAGTCTGCACTTAGGAGAGCAGCCAGGAGCCGGTGTAGTGCAACCACATCTTGTTTTCTGTTGACCAATAACCTGTGAACTAAAGGGGATTTCAGAATTGAGATGTGAAAACAGATTCATTCTGGATATATTTTTCTACAAGGGGCCTAAAAAGTGTAGTCAATCCATTTTTTACAGCGTGTTTCATTCACATGCCACAGACACTGAGCCGTCTTCACTAGCCAATCCTGCAACTCTGTCTCCAGCCCTCCTGCTCGGAAGCCTCTGAGAGTCGACACCCTCCAGCCCCCCTCCTACGCATCCACCAATCTACCTCACCTCCGCCTCCCACACCCAGCCCCTCCAGATCGCTGCCCCAGGCCAGGAGACCAGACCGGTGATGAAGGATGATTGTGAGAAGCCCTCTGCCAGCCCTCCCCATTGAGACCCCCAGTGCCACTCTGAGCATGCTGAGACCCCATTGGGATGCAGCCCGTTACTGCCTAGAATCACACTCCAGCCCCCAGCTCCCAGATCTTTGGAGTTGGGTGAGCAAGACTGGAGAGGGCCCACTCAGAACTGTCTTGGAAGTCGGATATTGCCCACAGTATAGACCGTGCCATCTCTGCCAAGTCTCACCTCTTTGGGTGAGCTCCCCAATGCCCTCCACTGCCACTTTGTCCTTTTCCTTTCCTGTTCCCTTCCTGAGCCTCAGGTCCCCTGTCGTGAGCCACTCCACAACAGCTCCTGCCACTCAAGGAGCAACTGACCTGACCACTACACCAGCCCCCCGGTGGCCTTGTCCCGTGCTGCTTTCTTGCTTGGGGTACAAGGAAGAAGTCACTCACAGGCCAGATGCTACTATTTACCCCCAGGCTGGCATGTAAGCGGAGCGGTTTTGTTCTAGAAAACTACTTGCTGCCTTGGTTTTTCTCCAAAATCATAGAGATCATAAAACAGAGATGCTGAAGAGACTCGAGGAGGAAATAAAAAGCAGTACCCAGTTTCAGGGTATGATTACAACACCCCCAAGTAGCTGGTGGAATGCAACCCACTCCTGCTTTTGTCTACACCCGATTCCTGCCCAGTCACGTGATGACATGAGCATCGCATCGGGGGCTGCGGACTTCGGGCATCAGCCACCAGGAGACACGTGGACATGGGAAATGGTGTCATGCACCCAGACCCTTCTTTGGAGCTGTAGACAATGAGTGGGGACCCTAATGAACCAGAGGGGATGCGTGAGATGATGGAAAATTCAGGAGAGTGGGGGTTGCCTCTAACATTCACAGCACGGCTTCTTTAGCCAGCGCCAGAGTATTTAGCATGTGTTTATTTTATTTTATTTTTCAGAGACTTTTGCTAAAGGGCTCATGTGCTTGTCTGAGTGGCAGAGAGAACCAGAGAGACAGAAAGAAAATTATCCCCAAGGGGGATGGCCACATGGCAATCCCTTCTCCATTCTCCTCACCAGATCTTAGGCATGCATGCACACACACCCGGTGTGAGTTTTAAGCTGCCAGGTCCAGGACTCGAACTGCGATCAACTGCATGGAAGTCCAGCGACGTAACTATCACACCATCTGCTGGGCCCAGGCATACATTTATTTTTGCTTTTGTTTTTGTTTTTGTTGATAAGCCACAGTTCATACACCCTTCTGTCCAAGCCCCCTTGACTGACACAGACCCATCCCTTTTCCATGGGGCCCTGGAGGATGTGGGCCACACACTAGAGAACTCAACCTGCATGCACAAAGCAGCTACCATTGACCGGCCCCCACCCAGCCTAGCGACACAGGGCTCTCCACCGTCACCATGACAGGATCAGAAAATGCTGTCCTGTGGAGGTTGCCTCTTCGCGATCGGAGCTTTGCTTCTCAGGATTGGCTGACATGAGGCCCAAGAGTTCCAAACTGAAAAACTGTCCTAAACCTGAAACTTCACCCACTGCCCAGCACGTCGTCTGCGATGGCCGTTAAAGAGCCGTTGGTCCTTTTCTACTTCCGCTGCTTCCAAGAGGTGAGGGGAGCAGGTCCGCAAACCACGCCCCAGATCCGGCACCCCCTGGAAGTGGCCCACGCCCTCACTGCCTGGCTCCCCCTTCCTGGCCTAGCCCCCTAGCGCCCTGCCTCACCTGCTGCTCATGCTTTCTGAAGGCCGTGTGAAGTGATCGAAAAGCAGAACTGGGCATGGAGTTTTGCTGGCGTGGTCACGCACACAGCGTCATGCTATAGTGTAGCTGAATGGCCCTCAGCACGTGACGTCGCACACGCCATTGTCCCGTTAAGCTTCTCATCCTTCCCCGCCTCAGAAACTTT